GGGTGAGGGAGGGTGGGGTGGATGGATCAGAGAGATAGAGAGAGGCCCAGATGTGTCCCCCCTTCCTTGTCTGGACTCAGTGCACACTATAAGGCCTGCCTTGTGATGGGGGGGGGTCTCCAATTCTCCCTCCCTCCCTCCCCCTCTCCCCCCCCCCTCTCTCCAGCTCACTCTTGTTGGGGTGAGCTCGAGGCAAATGAGGGATGAACTTTGTGACTTCTCTCCGAATGCTTGCTCACCTCTCGGTCCTCTCCTTCCTCTTTCCCATCCCTCCCCTCCCTCCCTCCTTCCTCTCTCTCCCTCTCTCCCTCCCTCCTTCTTCTCCTCCAGTGTAGGAGACGGATCACATGCCCACTCACGCCTGTCCCCCCAGCTGCTGGGGAGGCTGAGATCCGGAGGATGGCGGTTCCAAGATCAACCGGGCAGGAAAAGCCTGGGAGACTCGTGTGTGTGTGTGTGTGTGTGTGTGTGTGTGTGTGATCGCCCACGAACCACCCAAAAGTAGGAGTGGAGCTATGGCTCAAAGAGGAAGAAAGTCAGGGCTGGGAAGGTGGCTCAGTGGTAGAGCGCTCGCCCAGCATGCATGAAGCCCTGGATTTGATTCCTCAGCACCACATACCCAGAAAAAAGCTAGAAGTGGCGCTGTGGCTCAAGTGGTAGAGCACCAGCCTTGAGCACAGAGAGGCTCAGGGACAGCGCCCAGGCCCTGAGTTCAAGCCCCAAGATTGGCAATGAATAAGCCCCAGTCCTGGGGCTTGAACTCTGGGCCTGGGCGCTGTCCCTGAGCTCTTGAGCTCAAGGCTGGTGCTCTCCCACTTGAGCCACAGCGCCACTTCTGGTTTTCCCATAGTTTCATTGGGGATCAGAGTCTCATGGACTTTCCTGTCCTGGGGCTGGCCTCGAGCCGCGATCCTCCGGATCTCAGCCTCCTGAGTAGCTGGGATGACAGGCAGGAGCCACTGGTGCCTGCCTGGTGCCTGGGGCTTTTCGAAGCTGTTCTTTCACTTAGGCTCAAATCTCCCTGCTGGCTCCTTCATGAATTTACAGGGGGTGAAGCCAGCCAGGAGGTGGGAGGAGAGGGGGGGGGAGACTTGTCATCCCTCGTGAGTCTGCTGCTTTACTCATTCTCCTGCCTCTTCCAGGTCCCAGCCACCTCCCAGCATCCTTTGCTCTGCCAGGCAGGTGCCCAGCCTGGGGCTGCAGAAATCAGGGCCAGGGCGCTGCTGCCCAAGGCCGGCGCTCTACCGCTTGAGCCACGGCGCCACTTCCGGTGTCCTGGTGGTTCACTGAAGAGAAGAGTCTCACAGACTTTCCTGCCCGGGCTGGCTTTGAACTGCGATCCTCAGATCTCAGCCTCCTGAGTAGCTGGGATGACAGGCGTGAGCCATGGATGCCTGGATCCTCCTCCTCTTCTCCTCTTCCTCCTCCTTCTCTTCCTCCTCCTCCTCTTCCTTCTCTTCTTCTTCCTCCTCTTCCTCTTCTCTTCCTCCTCCTCTTCCTCCTGCTCCTCCTCCTTCTCTTCCTCCTCCTCTTCCTCCTCTCCCTTCTCCTCCTCCTCCTCTTCTCCTCTTCCTCCTCCTCTTCCTCTTCCTCCTCCTCTTCTCCTCTTCCTCCTCCTCTTCTCCTCTTCCTCCTCCTCTTCCTCTTCCTCCTCCTCTTCTCCTCTTCCTCCTCCTCCTCCTCTTCCTCCTCCTCTCCCTTCTCCTCCTCCTCCTCTTCTCCTCTTCCTCCTCCTCTTCTCCTCTTCCTCCTCCTCTTCTCCTCTTCCTCCTCCTCCTCCTCTTCCTCCTCCTCTTCTCCTCTTCCTCCTCCTCCTGTTCCTCCTCCTCTTCTTCCTCCTCTCCCTTCTCCTCTTCCTCTTCCTCCTTCTCCTCTTCCTCTTCCTCCTCCTCCTCTTCTTCCTCCTCCTCCTTCTTCTCCGTGGATTTTTTAGGTTTCTTTTCCCACTTTTCTCGGGAGCACAGCGAGGCTCCAGTGGGGAGTCTCTAGCGCTCACCCCACTGGGGAGGTTTGGGGGTGAGGAGGGGTGAGAGGTCCCCTCCTGGGGGGCAGCAGGTCTGGGGGGGGTCAGGGCAGCTCGGGCCCTCCCTCTAGCCTCGCTTCCAGACAATTCCACACGACCGATTCCAGCCCCCTCCCACCCCTGGACCCCAGCCTGACCCACCCCCACCGCAAGCCCGGCCACAGACCCCACAGACCCGCGTCCACCGCACCCTGACTGGCCCAGGCCACCACGCAGGGGTGAGGAAGCGAAGGCCAGGGTCCTGGGGCCGGGGGCACAGGGGAGGGAGGTCGAGGTCCACCTGCGCCTTCTCCCTCCCCTCCGTCCCTCCTCCTGGGTGCCGGGCCGGCCGCACCTGGGTGCACACAGGCCTGGGTCAGCCCCCGAGGTCGCTGCCCTCCGGGCCTGGAGCTCGGAGCCCGGGGCCCCTGCGAGGACACTGTGTGGCTCTTCCCCAAGACACCAGAGGCCAGCCGAGCCCAGACTCCCGGCTTTCTCCCAGGACGCCGCTTCAGGTGTGTGTCATGCCGGGCTGGGCGTGGAGGGCATGCCTGTAATCCCATGCCTGTAAACCCCGCCCAGGTGGAAGCGTGAGACCTGGTCTGACAAAATAATAATAATAAATAATAATAAAAGGCCTGGGAATAGTTGTTCAAGTGGTAGGTAGGGCCTGAGGCTAGGAATTCAATCCCCAGTGTGCGTGGTGGGGGGAAGGGGAAGACAGACAGACAGAGAAGCAGATAGACAGGCAGACACAGAGACAGGCAGACAGACACAGAGACAGACTGACAAGCAGTCAGACAGACACAGAGACAGACAGGCAGACAGACTCAGAGACAGACAAGCAGACAGAGAGACAGATAGGTAAACAGACAGACACAGAGACAGACTGACAAGCAGACAGACAGACACAGAGACAGACACACTCAGAGACAGACAAGCAGAGACAGACACACTCAGAGACAGACACAGATACAGACTGACAAGCAGACAGACAGACACAGAGACAGACACACTCAGAGACAGACAAGCAGAGACAGACACACTCAGAGACAGACACAGATACAGACTGACAAGCAGACAGACAGACACAGAGACAGACAGGCAGACACACAGACTCAGAGACAGACTGACAGACAGATAAACACAGAGACAGACATACAAGCAGACAAACACACAGAGACAGATAGGCAGACAGACAGACACAGACACAAACAGGCAGACAGACACACACTGAGATAGACAGACAGACAAGCAGACAGACTCAGACACAGACAAGCAAACACAGACAGACAGAAACAGAGACAGGCTGATAGACAGACTGACTCAGAGACAGATAGACAAGCAGACAGACAAGCACGCAGACACACAGAGACAGATAGGCAGACAGACAGACACAAACACAGAGTCAGAGACAGACACAGACACAGAGTCAGAGACAGACTGACAAGCAGGCAGACAGACACAGACAGGCAGACAGACACAGACAGACAGACACAGAGATAGACTGACAAGCAGACAGACAGACACAGACAGGCAGACAGACACAGACAGACAGACACAGAGATAGACTGACAAGCAGACAGACAGCCCCTGTCTTTATGCTGGGCCCAGAAGAGAAAGATAATAGTAATGAGAATAACAATGACAACAACAACAACAACAACAACAATAATAATAAATAACCCTGGCTCGCTGCAGCCTGGGTGGAGATGCCATGATCGCCTGGCGGAGTTGGAAGCCGTGGCTCACGGCTGCCCCCTGCAGGTGCTGACATTCATCTGTGAATTTCCATTTGAATCTGTCCAGTTTCCTTTATTGTTTGGCTGGTAACCCGAGGCGGGATTTGGCCTTCACAGGTTGCCCGAGATGGAGCACATTCCCTTCCGCACACGCTGTCACCAGTCCCCTTGGTCTCTCCCTTCTGCCTGTCATCCTGGCTACTCAGGAGGCTGAGATCTGGAGGATTGAGGTTCGAGGCCAGGCTAAGGCAAGGAAAGCCCCTGAGATTCTGACCTCCAGGGAACCACTTGGAAAAAGTCTCCAGTGGTGCCGTGGCTCAAGCGGTAGAGTGCCAGCCAGCCTGGAGCACAAAGAGGCTCGGGGAATTTTCCTGGTTCTGGGTAACAAATTTAAGGTGGGACCCAGGTTGGAAAAACAAAAAAAAAAAACTGGGGAGAAAAGAAGGAAAATGGGAATCGCTTAGGTTCAGATGTCTCTAGAAGGCCTGCATTATTATTATTGTTAGATTATGGCCAGTCCTGAGCCTTGAACTCAGGGCCTGGGCGCTGTCCCTGAGCTTCTTTGTGCTCAAGGCTGGTGCTCTACCATTTTGAGCCATATAGATAGATAGATATGGCGCCAATTCCGGTTTCCTGATGGCTCCTTGGAGATCAGAGTCTCATGGACTTTCCTACCTTAGGCATGGCCTAGAACTGCGATCCTCCGGATCTCAGCCTCCTGAGATGCTGAGCTGGGAGGCTGGGAGAGAGGCTGTACTGCACGGTGGTTGGCTTTGGTTTTGAACCCCTCCAAGGGATCTGGTTTATCTCCCCCAAGATCCAACCAATCAAACAGCCTGGCAATGAACCCCAGACTGGGCCTAGGTCCAGATAGAAGAAACATCGCAGCCAGTCCGGCATCTCAGCTACTCAAGAGGTCTGAGATCGAGAGGATCGCAGTTCGAAGCCAGCCCCAGGGCATCCAACACCCAGAAACTCTCAACTCCAGTGAATTAGCAAAAGACAGGAAGTGAAGGTGTGGCTCACGTGGTAGAGCACCAGCCGGGAATGAAAAAGCTAATGGAAAGAGAGGCCCAGGCCCTGAGTTCAAGTGTCCCCCCACCCTGTTTGTGCTACAAAACTAGGCGTTTTACCACTTGAGCCACAGCACCACCTCTGGCTTTTTTCTGAGTGGTTGAATTGGAGATGAGAGGCTCGTGGACTTTTTCCTGCCCAGGGCTGGCTTCGAACCACCATCCTCTAGATCTCAGCCTTACCGAGAGGAGCTGGTGTGCCATCTAGCATCTCTGCCACCAGGTGGCAGTGTCGCCACACCCGGAGGAGCCCAGGGACACCAGAGAACTTGGATAGCTGTGCTGGAAGGTTCTCAGGGGAAAGTAGAGTAGGGGTGCGGGGAGGGGTGTCTCAGGCTCTGGGGTCACAGGGTTAGCAAAGCTGGGGGGTGGGGGGAGATTTCTCGTGACTTGTCTGCACCTTGCACTTCTGTCTCATCAGGTCTTTAAAAACATTGTTAGAATAAGCCAGGTGCTACTGGAGGAGGCTGAGATCTGGAGGATCACGGTTTGAGGCCAGCCCTGAGCAAGGAAAGTCCGTGAGACTCTGATCTCCAATAGACCATCAGAAAACCACAAGTGGCGCTGTGGCTCAGGTGTGGTAGAGCACCAGCCTTGAGCTGAAGAGCTCAGGGACAGCACCCAGGCCTTGAGTTCAAAGCCCCAGGACTTGTGTGATCTTTTGTCATGTCTGTCTGTCTGCTTATGATCTCTCTCCCCTATAGACTCTTTTATTTTTTAATCTGCCAGGCCTGGGGCTTGAACTCAGGGCCTGGGCGCTGTCCCTGAGCTTCTTTGGCTCAAAGCTGGCGCTTGACCACGTGAGCCACAGCGCCACCTCTGGATTTTGCTGTACATGTGGCACTGAGGAATCGAACCCGGGTCTTCACGCATGCCAGGCGAGCGCTCTACCCGCTGAGCCACATCCCCAGCCCCTTGGGGGTTGTTTTTTTTCCCACTTACAAAATGGAGTCTGGGTGCAGTAGGGCTGTGGGCCTCAATGGGCCCTGGAGGCCAGGCTCAGGTCCTGAATTACATTGACCTCAAGTGACATCAGTTCTTCAGGTCCTGGGAATGAATGATTTCCATTTCTTTCTGAGTGTTCTGTCACGGGCCTTGTTATTGGCTGTCTAGATGGTCTGTTCTATGACGGGCCTTGTTATTGGATGTATAGATGGTGTTATTCTGCTATAGGCCTTGTTGTTGGAAACCTGCAATAGGCCTTGTTATTGGCTCTTTCGATGATGTATTCCGTAACGGGCCTTGTTATTGGTCTACTCTGTAATGGGTCTTGTCATTGGCTTTCTAGATGGTCTATTCTGTAACAGGCCTTGTAATTGGTTCTCTAGATGGTGTGTTCTGTAACGGGCCTTATTGTTGGCTCTCTAGATGATGTGTTCTGTCTCTAGATGATGTGACCTTGTCATTGGCTTTCTAGATGGTCCATTCTGTAACGGGCCTTATAATTGGTTCTCTAGATGATGTGTTCTGTAACGAGCCTTGTCATTGGCTTTCTAGATGGTCTATTCTGTAACAGGCCTTGTTGGAGCTCTAGATGGTCTATTCTGTAACGGGCCTTGTAATTGGTTCTCTAGATGGTGTGTTCTGTAACAGGCTTTGTAATTGGTTCTCTAGAAGGTGTGTTCTGTAACGGGCCTTATTGTTAGCTCTCTAGATGATGTGTTCTGTAACAGACCTTGTCATTGGCTTTCTAGATGGTCTATTCCGTAACAGGCCTTGTTGGAGCTCTAGATGGTCTGTTCTGTAACAGACTTTGTTATTTGATCTCTAGACGATCTATTCTGTAACGGGCCTTGTCATTGGCTCTCTAGATGGTGTGCTCTGTAACGGGCCTTGTCATGGGCTCTCTAGATGGTGTGCTCTGTAATTTCAGCTCTCCAGGTTGTGCGATGGAGACGCTCCGGCTGTGACGCTCAGCATCTGAGTCTTCCCACGGCGTCTGGAGAATCCAGACGGTCTTGCCATTTTAAGAATCCCCATTCTGAGAGTTCACGAAGTGTGGCACGAATAGCTTTTCCTGTCTTTGTCTTTCTCTTTTGCTTTGTGGCCAGCGCACACCCTCCCGTGCTGGCTGGGGAAGGGCGCGTCTGGGCGACCCCCAGGCCTTAGCTCTTCGGGATGGGGTTATCATTTCCTTGTCTCGATTCCAACACTTTCCCCCAGGGCTGATCGTTTCCTGATCATCCCAGCCCAGGGCCCCCAGCAAGCAAGCTGTTGACACCAAGATCATATTATAGTGTTCTGGCGGATATAGTAGCGGATGAGTAAACACGGGGCAGCCAGAGAGAGCTGTCCGCTTCCTGAACGTTTACAACCCCAGAATGCATGTGAAGTTTACACACATGGCCCTTTATATCGCCCTGGCCCTGCGGGGTTGGCCGGGAGATGAGATCAGCCCTTTTGGGTCTATAAAATAACTTTCCAGCTCATTTCCCCTCCAAGCTGAACTTTGGAGCTTGATTAGGTTTCAAATCAGCCTAGCCTGCTTCTCCTTCCCTGTACCACCCCGAATCCCGGATTCATAGGCCAGCCTTCCCAGCCTGAGGCTTCTGGGAGGCCAGGAATTAACCTGGGGTCTGGTGAAATACGCAGGTTGTGTGCTGGGGGGGCCTGTGGCTCACGCCTGTCATCCCAGCTACTCAGGAGGCTGAGATCTAGAGGATTGTGGTTCAAAGCCAGCCCAGGCAGGGAAGTCTGTGAGACTCATATCTTCAATAAACCACCTGAAAATAGGAAGTGGTGCTGTGGCTCAAGTGGTAGAGTGCTCGCCTTGAACCAAAGCAGCTCAGGGTCAGCCCTCAGGCCCTGAATTCAAGCCCCAAGACTGGCAAAAAGAAAAAGAACTACCAGGTCTGGGAAGGTGGCTCAGTGGTAGAGTGCTTGCCTTGCATGCATGAGGCCCTGGGTTCGATTCCTCAGCACCACATAAACAGAAAAGGCTGGAAGTGGGGCTGTGGCTCAAGTGGTAGAGCGCTAGCCTTGAGCTGAAGAGCTGAGGGACAGCGCCCAGGCCCCACGACTGACAAAAAATAAGCTATCAGAATTAATGTGATTACCCAACCTTCCATCCACCCATCCATCCATCCACCCCCCCATCCATCCATCCATCCATCCATCCATCCCCTTTGGGTGTTAGCGCCCCACAAGTATATAGGGGTTCTTCCTCAGATAAATTCGTGTGCCTCCTTCTATAGTCTTCACCTCCCTTGGCCAACATATAGGACACCCCTCAATCCCAGGTGCGCAGGGAGGGGCCGGTCCCCCGCTTCCCCCACTCCTGTAGCCCACCCCCAGCTGCCACGCTGCCCGCCTTTCCCCCAACCCTGACATCCCTCCATGTACCTCGCTCTTCCTGAGCCCTCTTTGTGGGGTGAGCGGTCCCCACTGGGTTTTCTTATCCCGTCCTTTATGCTGGGCGGCCGGCAGGCTGGGGCTGTGGATGGGTGTTTTTGTCTGGGTGTGTGGGTCGTGACGGTCCCCCCGCCTGCACCGGCCCCGCATTGCTCACCGCACAGCCTGACGCCTTTCTCTGTCCTTGCAAAGCATGCTGGGTAGCCGAGGGAGGCTTTGTCCCACACAGAGGTCACAAGAAAGTGTGTGTGGGGGGGGGGGTTCACCTCCACCCCCCCTCCACGCCTTGATTGAGGCTGCGAAGAACACAGTTTTGAAAAAGTAATAGAGTTATTTATAAAAATATACCTTTTGATTAAACAAATAAAAAATTTAGAAGAATACACACATAGTTATAAAAGCATGTGAACATGTGTATTAAAATATGTAACTACACTTATAAGGATACATAAATATAGATCAAAATTCATAAAGAATATTTATATGGAAATAGATAACGTATATAAATAGGTATTTATAAACATTATTTAAAAATATACTTGTAATAATACATATGTATAAAATATTAAAAATATAAATATACTTATAAAGTATATAAATATATCTTTATAAAATATTTAAATATGTCGTTATAAAATATATACAAATATATCTTTATAATATATATAAATATATCTTTATAAAATATTTAAATATGTCGTTATAAAATACATAAATACATCTTTATAATATATAAATATATCTTTATAATATATATAAATATATCTTTATTATATAAATATATCTTTATAATATATGTAAATATATTATATATGTAAATATATCTTTATAATATATATAATATATATAATAATATATATAATAATATATATATGTAAATATATCTTTATAATATATATAAACACATCTTTTAATATATATAAATATATCTTTATAATGTATGTAAATATATCTTTATAATATATGTAAATGTATCTTTGCCCATCCAATGAGAGCCAGTCATGCCCTTCCACTTGAGCCACACCCCTCCTGATCTAGCCACGCCCCTGACTTGAGCCCTGCCAATACCATGTGAGCTACACCCTCCCCCTCTTAAGCCCCTCCCCTCTGGCTGGAGCAACGCCCACCCCGTGGAAGCCACGCCCATGCCACCAATCCTCTCCCTTCCACCTGAGGAAGGCCCACCCCCCCGGGAACCACGCCCATCCAACTGCCGCTCCCCCTGCTCTGGCCACGCCCACCCCACATTAGCATGCCCCGACTACTTGAGGTCCTCCCCCTCGGCCAGGCCACGCCCATCGTCCTTTGCCCCTCCCTCTTGGGCCTTGCAGGTTCTTCTCCAGCCACTCCGCTCCCACTGGAGCCAAGCCAATCCCATGCAGGACACGCCCAGCAACTGAAGCCCCTCCCCCCTTAACAGCGCACGTTCTGACGACCCACACACTCTGTGTAAGCCACGCCCACCGCCGTAAGGCCACACCCACCACAATAAGGCCACGCCCCTTCGGCGGGAGCCCTCCTTGGCAACAGGCCGGACTTGGCGTCTAGGCAGGACGTGGAGGCCTCGGCTGGGACCTTCGCTGAGACCCCCGTGCCGCCGGGAAGAGGAGGGGCCTCGCTGAGAGCCCCACGGAGAACACAGGACAAAGCAAGCGAAGGAATAGTCATCCACCCGCTGATCCATCTATCCACCCACTCATTAACCCACCCATCCACCCACCCACCCATCCATCTATCCATCCATCCATCCATCCACCCATCCATCTATCCACCCATCCATCCACCCATCCACCTACTCATCCATTCATCCACCTGCCCACCCATCAACCCACACATCCATCCATCCATCCACC